TTACAAAGAGATTTGCCTAACCTTGGCCATTAATATGTTAATGTCTGTATAATTATATATAACCCATGGATGTAACCATCATTCCAAGCTTCTCCTGAGAGTCACTGTACAACACACATAACCAGCCAGTGGAACTTCACCTGTTAAGGAAATCACAATTACTGCAATTTGCGACCAGTGGTTGGCTGAGGCTCATGGAAGTTGGAGTTCCACAACAAATCATAGGGAAATCATAGCTCTCTCTGTTCTATGTTGTAGCTCACTGTAAGTCTGGAGACTGTCAGTGCTATTTAACCAAGTTAAATAAGAATTATTTTATGTCAATTTTATTTTCGAATTCCGGTTAATATATTACTCTGGGGTGGGGGTTGCTTTATTTACGTTAAATTAATATTTTGAGACAAGTAGAATAATGTGTTGGCTGCAGCTCTCCCTGCGTTTGTGTGGCTTATTCAAGCAGTAAAAATGTTTGTGTAGAGAGAGCGCAGAAATATTAGTCCATTTCGTGATTTACAGAGCATGAAATAAGACAGGCTGAAATGGCTATATAAAATCTAAATTAGTTTTGAAGTTTACATACAGATACAATAGCAATGTTTTCCTAGTGGATTACTCTGTCTGAAAATGTTTACAATGTTCTATTTTTACGAGGAGTTTAAAGTAATATTACACTATAATAAACAGCGTGCGCACTGCTAAGGGCATCAAGGTAGATTTACTGTACTCATCATGTATTCCGATTACCCAGCGTGGCTCAGTGGTTGTCCCTTTTGCATTTCATTCTCTTCTGTATACATTTTCTTTTCCTACTCTATGTAATGATGGCCAATCTAATGACTAAATTGCAAACCCACTGTTTTAGGAAAAGATTGAAAATAGCTTATTGGTATTTGACCTATAACAGTACATTCGTAGTGACATTAGAGTGGTTCTAGAGCAGGACTTTTAATCAGTACATGGCATTCCAATAATCACAATATATTTAAAAGGATGTCCCTAACTATGGACCTTTTCTTCTGACATGAGTCTGTTTCAGCTGTAAAGAACACTGGTCTCATTGACATGACAGCTAGATTTTGTGACAAATTTGTGTGAAAAGGTGGACACGTACTTCCACACAAATTTGTCACAAAATCTAGCTGTCATGTATACCTACAAACATTTAGGCTTGCAGCATCTGCTATGATTCTGCTGATTCCATTAAATACCTCCATTCCTCAGTATGTGTAGCAGGCTTCGTAAGTGGTGGCCGTGGCATGTCTTTTTTACAACTTGAATGCAAATATTTGTGGACCGAGTGGGGTGACCCCCTCAGTACTTGTTGCCAGCCAGTTGTAAATTCTCCTAACTTCTAGGTGGGAGGGAACATTTATCCTGATGCTCCCTCCATGAGTCCAGCAATGAGAGACACATAGTGCTCTACACTTGTGAACATACATTATTTTGTAATGATCTGTTCATAGAGTTAGCACAAAAGCATATTTAATGACGAAGCGCTTAAAGAACTTTTCACTGACATGATATATAGAATCCTAAAATTTGTTTTTGAAAATATTTTAAATAGTTTTTATTCAAATTCCTTTGCCTGTTTATATAAAATGCGAAACTCATACTGTCCCAATTTGGACTGAATCACATAATAAAATAACAATAAATAAAATGACAAATCAAATACATATATTAAAATAAAAATCCATTTAACAGCCCAAAATCTGAATATTATCTCCATTTGTATACTATGCTACCAGCTTTGCAATTCTATTTTCAAGGTGCCCAAGATATGTTAAACTTCTTAATAATCAGCTGTAACTTGTAGCACCATCACAATTTGGATAGCTTGCCCGCTAAGAATCCATATGTGTAGTCAGCTGGGTACTTGGTGACTTTGTATCTCTAGAGTCCCACTTCGGATGGCAAGCCGATTTTCATTGCGTGTGGTTAATCACGATCGTCACGATATCATATTATGCAAAAAGCATGTATCAGGAGAATGTCTCTAGTTTCTAATAGTCCTCTCATAGCCATTCAGTTTTCTAATTGTTTTGCTTGTTCTCATTGAGTTACCATCGCTGAAAAAAAATGTCAACTTTAAATTCATACCCTTTTTGGTTGAAACTGATACATGTTTTATGTATGAAAATACACAATAGAGGTTGTTCATATACACACACGACTTTTAAATAAAATGCTTTAAAATCTACAGCTTGAATTTAAGTCGTAAAATCACCCCTTTGCAGGCCTAGGGCCCCTCGACTACAATAAAATTATGAATTCATTCTGTGTGCTAAGAGACTAATTGTGCCTTTTGTTTTGCATTAAAATCCTATTTGTGTCCATGACTTTCTGTCTCTTTGCCATGTTGTATTCCTGAGAGTTGTACCATGGGCTCATTCTTAGAATAGTAGAATGTTGTATTCCTAGATTTAAAAAAATAAAAAGGGATGGAATGATGGATGGCGGATTTGTAGGTTTAAAGACTCACTGTTCCTTACAATGACAGTCTACTACTTAGAAAATCGTAAAACGCCTTCCTCTGAAAGTAGGTAAGGAGTATTTATGAATTCTAAGAGTGAGGCAGTTACCATAGAAACAATGGAATGTTGCTACGTTTTGTTCGTCCTTTAAAATATTGCCCCACAATGACCCTTTATACACCTTTCACAGTATTCTGTATTCTCTGAATTAATAATTCTGTTGTAAACACTGTTTTAGGGCAAATGTTCATAAAAATACACTGGAAGCTTGGCGTTATTCTAACAGCTGGAGACCCACATAGAATGGCTCCACCTAATTTAGGTTGTATCATGCTTGCGGTCCAGCCACGTGGATGTGGGTTTATATAATAAGACTACTTTTCCTAATGTATAAAGCCCATTTAGCACACAAGAAAAGTGTTATTTATTTTTTTATTTTCTGTTATAAATATATATATATATTAGTCTGACTGTCCATTTTTTATGTATAAATGTACCTAAAGGCTACATATGATAAGGAAAGTTAATAAATCAAATTAGAAAAGGTTAAAGTTTGAGACCAAAAGAGGATATTTACTAATGTTATTTTAAATTCAATAATGTCCACATTGCGTTATGCTTTTATGTTTGTCCACAATGTTCGTCTAGATCTATACTGTAAAGGTTTCCAGCATACATGGGGAAAGGGGGTGGACACCTCTGTTATCTTAAATCTTCCGCCGAATTATTACTGGGCATCAGTGCCATTTTTTTTTGCAGTGCATATAAAGTTAACATACGTGCGAGAGGTCCCCCAACGGCAATCCTCATGCATTGTTGAGACACATATAACAATGGGGTAGTCGAGAATACATGCACAATTTTTATAGTTAAGCGGGTAGGCTAGTAAGACTAGTGCCATTTTAATGTTCTGTCAATATGTTGCAATTTAACAGTCTTAGCATTAGAATGTGAAAATAACTGACAATAGTCCAATCGAAATTCCATAATCTCTACATGATGAGCAGAACATTCACAAAGGTGGCTTTCAAATTAATTTATCAAGTCCCCCTGCACACACAGTGTAAATGCAAGGGTGGCCTTAGACATGTTTTCTTTTTCTGATTAACAGTTTATTAACGTGGTGCAAAATGTATCATCCCAGAATTTGAACAATACCCCCATAACCTAGTGGCACCCCATAGTAAACAAAGATGTCTGTGAGGCTGACTGTCCCCAAAGATGGTCATGATTTCTGAAATCTGTAGTACAATTACTGTTGGAGGGCCAAACGTGGACACCCAAGGGTTTTGTTATCATTTCCTTTGCTTTACTATCTGTATTATACTGTAAGTCTTAAAACTGTATTAATTTATTTTTTTGCATGTAGATATCATGGTCCCTGTATCAAATATTAGAACTGTACATAAGAAAGCCAATTCTTGTCCTGTAGAATGCAATGTATTTCTTATGTTCCTCTTGTTGGCTTCTGAAGGCATCAGAATGAACGAACTTCTCAGGGATTTAGTGAATGGCAGCACTGATCCACCCATGTCAAAAATGATAAGCATGAAACAGCCTTCTTGTGGACTTATCAGAAGCATTGCTTACAAGCAATTATCAATTTTGTATTTACGTGCTTTCTCACCTCTGTATATAGTACTGTTTGTGTATTTATTAGAGCTTGTAAGCAATAATTTAAATGTATAAATTGCCAAGCAATATGAGGTTTTAACTTATGTAAGCCACTGTAATATCTTGCATTTCAACTTGTTTGTTTTTTTATCTCCCTTTCAAGAATAAATTAGAAAAAAAAAAGTTTTGTCATTCGTTTTAGTTTTAAATTCTTTATTTTCGTGCATTCAATAAACAAGTGAGCTTGTACTGCCACAACAGCTGGTACAAACTGGGCATCAAACATAGTATGACATTTATGTGGACATTTAAGTGAGTACAGTGCACATTTTATGAATAAGAGTAGGCTGTGTTAGTCTAAGGTCACCGATCGAAAAAAATAAATGGGGGGGTTAGAGAGGAGATGTCTCTCTCTAGGCACGTGTAGAGTAATACTGTACACCAGCATAACAAAGGAGTGGGACATCTAACCGTCTTTACCGCTGTGCATAATCTGGAGAGGGGAGGTGGTAATTCTCATCCTACGTGAGATGGGCTGGTCTTAGTTCTGGTAGTCAAATGAAGTAGAGTGTTGTTTTTGTGTTTTAGTATACCGATTTTAATTAAGCATTGTAGCCCCATCTTCTATTGTGTTGTTTATGGTAAGGGTAGAGTTGTCGATACGCGCATGCGTGGTAGGCACGTCTGTGCTTTTAAGTGGTCTTAGCTCGTTGGTTGGAAGCATAGGGTTCTTTATGTGTTCCAGACGTTGAGTCTTTTGGTTAAAGGCTCTCCAGGAGAGCGAAGCAGGGTTTAATGCTGCTTAGTGCCCTGTCATCGGTGGGTGCTTGGGGGAAGGGTTTATGCCCAAGACCAAGGCAGTGCTTGTGTACTGGTGTGGGGTGGGGTTATGCATGCATGGTCCTAGACCAGGTGAAAGGATCACTCACCTCCTTGGTAGGAGTGGGTTGGCAGCCCGTGCAGCCGCTGTTTATTGGCTGTATGAGTGGGCATCTGCCATAACGGTAATTATAATGGGGCGCTAAGCGGTGGCTTTTATGGGGTGTACCATCAAGCCCTCCTGGTTATGAGAGGAGAGTGGCATGCTGCCATGCCTTCTCTGACCTATTGGTTGCGCTTTTCGTATTGGGGGGGGTTGGCTCTCTGCAGCGGTAAGGGGGGCATGGGAGTCTGTCCTGCGGATAGGGTACAATAGTGTTGTAAGAAACACCTAACAATTTTACGAAATGCAAGGAAAACAAAACAAGACAAGAATAAAAGTTACGAATAGAAAAATAAAAAGCTCTGTGACCAGGTGTCATATGGTCTGTTGGAGTCCGGTAGCTCCTTAGCCAGGTGGCTTTATCCTGCATGTCCTTGTGTTTCAGCCTGTGTCAGCAGCGGAGCGCGGCACAAATGGGACTATGTTGGGGATGTCCCAGGTATCAGTTAGGGATCAGGTTGGAGGAGTCTATTGTTTTAAGTTCTAGTTTACCGAGGAAAGTTTCTGCGTCTTCTGTCGACGTCAGTCGATAAGTTGTTGCTCCCTTTGTAACTACTAGCATGGATGGGCTCCATCGGTACCTGACTCCAGCCGCTCTGAGGGTCGTGGTGACTTGCTGCACGGACCGTCTCCAGGTCAGTGTAGCTCTGCAAAGGTCCTGCAGGAAGGTGAGCTGCATGCCCTCGAATTGGTATGGGCTCTGGCCGCTGAGCGCCGACATCACCGCCATTTTGTCCAGGGTAGACTGTAATCGGAGAAGGACATCGCGGGAGGCCTCCGTTGGGGCTCTTGGCGACTTGGAGAGTCTGTGTACGCCTTCCACTATCACAGTCTTCGCCTGCTTGGGGTTAAGTATTGTGGCTAAGAGGCGTCGGGTAAGTTGTGGCAATTCATTGTCGTCTATGGAGTCGGCAATGCCTCTAATTTTTATGTTGGAGCGGCGTCTTGCGTCGTCTAGGCCATCCAGCCGTGCCTGTAGTGCCTGGTGTGAGGACTGGAGGTGTATTAGCTTCTCCTCCGTTGCTTGCTGGCGTTCTGCCATAGCGGTTATGTCTTCCTCGGCAACCCTCACTCTGCCAGTAACGGCGGTCACTTCCTCCTGCAAAATCGCCATGTCTGAGCGGAATAGGGTGCGCAGGTTCTGCAGTATATTCCGGATGTCACCCTTGGTGGCCGGAGCTCTCAGGTCGCCCATTGCTAGGCTCGGGATGGGGTCCGTAGCCTCCGGTATGGGATCTGGAGCATCCAGTGTTTCCTCCTCCGAGGATGAGCTCTGGGGATCTGGGGTCGCCGCCATTTTAGGTTTAGGCCTCACCAGGAAAAGATCACCTATTTTCCGGGATCCGTCCTCAGGGTGAGTTTTTAACTTCTTATTTCTTTTCCCCATGGTGTCTTTGAGTGTGGGGGCTGAAAAGTAGTCGGATTGTCTTCGTGTGGATCGATTAATCTGCATTTATTGCCGTTATTGCTCGGGAGCTCCGCAGGCATGCGACTGCTCTCTGTGCGATCCAGGCCACGCCCCCCGTCATTCTTTTTTTTGATACAATTTGTATTGTTTTTAATGTAATATATTTGTGCGTTTGTATGTATATACGTACAGACTGGGGATTTTTACATAGTTACATATGTAAAACTCCTGTGTCTGTATGTATGTACATACAAACCCACAAATATATAGCATTAAAAAACATACACATTTACACAAGTCATAATAAACATTATTACATTCATACATTTAGGAATGATTAAACACATCTCTGTACAATTTCGTTTTAATTAAGCAGACTGACATTTCTTATTTTATTTATTTTTTATTTATTTTTTTACAAAATTGTCTGTGATTTCCCACAACCCAAGCACACATTGCCATTGTCATTGTGCTGGTAGTGTACGGTCTGTGACATAAGGAGAATAAAGTCTTGAGGTGTTTTGGTTCTGACAGCTCTGTAATAATTAATTTAATTTATGGACTGCTTATATTCAAAATTAAACAGTTGCTGTTGGTTAATCCTAATGGTAACTAGGCTTACAATGGACTGTTTACAATATACAGTATTCTTGGAACTGAAATACATGTTACAATGCCCTACATTAAAAGTATCGAAGCAATGTTCAGGAATATAAAAAATGTGTCTAAGGGATCATTTGCATTAATAATAATAATAATAATAATAATAATAGCCCATATGGAAACGTTTTACAACGAAACTATTTTCCCCTACATTTTGCAATTTGGTTAATCAGTTTTTTTTATTGTAGAAAAAACAGGAGAATGTTTAGGCTCGCAGGCCCATGACAGTGTCAATACAAAATATGTACATATCGTTAGTATGATAAACGTCCAGATGGAATTTAAAATCAGGTTTGTTATACAATGAGTATCAATATTCGATTGTATCAGTATTTCTCAGCATAAATTGCCATGTTGTTTCGGTGTGGAACTGTATATATTTCCGCTTGGGCCCTTCATACGTGAGATTAAGGATGGGTGTATTAACGTCCGTCAGTGCCTTGAAGTTGCACAATTACTGGCGTTAATCTTTGTTAAGATTTGTCGGTATGTGTGAAAGTGTGGTGGGATGTATTGGGTTGTGCGATAGGATAAAAGGGTCATTGCCTAAGTGGGGGTAGTATGTTAGTTTTGAGTGGGACATTTGGTACAAGTGGATTCGGGAGGCGATAGTGTGGGTTATCGAAGATGGGGATATATTGCGTTAGGTATCCCCCCTTGTTGTGTGCTTTTCCATTTGTGTGTTCCGGTCCTCGGTGCTTTCGTATCACGTAATGTGATAGAGCCAATGAGGGTTATCTCTAGGGCCGCTTTGGTGAGAAGTCTCCCTTCCTCCTTTGGGTATCGTCCCGTGTGTTTTGTATGATTTGTCTCAGTTTGGGTTTGTTTCCCTGGGTGGCCTACATGACTCCGGAGCGTGTCATTTCAGAAGTGACATGCAAGGAAGGTTATTTATTATGTTGCGTATGTCAGTGGGGGCAGGGAGTATGAGTTTTCCGAGATTTCTCTCGAAAGGAATGGTATTTTGCTGTGCGTGTGTCAGGGATGTGGCTTTATCATGTCTGGTAGCCAGTTGACCCAAAGTCACTCCTTTAGTGTTATGTTGTGGGTTTCCCTTTGGGTCTTAGTTAGCTGTTACTGTCCTATGTTATAGTGGTTAAGGTGTGTGAGCTGCGCCGGCCCCCGACCCGCCGCCGACCACCCACCTATGCACCCGCACGGAAGGGGAACCACGGCATCCATGTCTCTGCGCATTTTGCTCCTCTACCCGCCAGTTCCGCCTGGAGTGCTTCAGCCGCCCTAATGTCCTCAACTCTGTGGATCCATTCCTCCCATGTGGGGATGTTCGACTTTTTCCAGTACACCGGTATCAGTGATTTGGCCGCGTTCAACAGGTGACGCAGGATTGATTTTTTATATTTGGATAACGGTTGTGAGGAGATGTGTAGCATGGCCAGTTCTTCTGACCATTCAGTGTCGTCTCCGAGGATCAGTTGAATATCCAATTTGATTTGGTTCCAGTATGGGATGATATGGTTGCATTCCCACCAAATGTGTCTAATTGTCCCTCTCTCATCCTGGCATCTCCAGCATGTTGGCGGTGTTGTGGGAAAAATCTTGTGTAGCAATACCGGCGTTTTATACCACATAGAGATCAGTTTATAGTTAACCTCTGTGTTGGATCTGGCCACTTTCATGATGGTGTCTTTAGTTGAGAATGAATGTATGCAGCATATTATGTCCCTTGGGCTTTCCTCAAGCGACCGGGGCTGCAGTGCTCTATGTGCCATGTCGTACCTTATGTCTAGCTGTACATCCTCGGGCATGATCAGGCGGAAGAGGGTCGTTAGGGTCTCCTCTATGTCCTCCTCCCCCTCAGTTTCTGGCATTCCGCGTACCCTTATGTTGCACCTGCGTCCGCGGTTGTCAAGATCTTCTACCGACCTCCTTAGTTGTAGGAGCAGGTCACCCTGTGTTGTGAGTGCCGTGTCTGTTGTCGCCAATCTGGCAGTCTGGGCCTCATGGGAGCGTTCCAGCTCCTGTATGCGGCTACCTTGCGACGCGACCTCCGTCCGGATTCCGGCCATTTCAGCCTGCAATGCGTCCTGAATCGTGGTGGTGAGGACCAGGAGACCCGATTTTGTGGCCATTGAGGTTGCCATTGTGCGGTTTTCTTCCCCGATGCCCTCTAAGGTAGAGGCAGGGGTGTCTTCAGGCGGAGTGGTAGAAGGCGCCATCTTGGGGCCTCCGGCCTCATCGCGTGTTGCTGCCGGCGTCTGCAAAAATCCGTCCAACGGGCCCAGCGATTGATTTAGTTGGGATCCCCGTGGGGTCCCGGGGAGGTCACCTCGTCGGTTCCGTCCCATTAAAGCTGTGAGTAGCTAATTAGTAGGGCTTTTTGGGGGCCGGTGGAGCGGAGCTCACTGCTTAGGCATTCATCCTGGTCGACGTCCAAGCCACGCCCCCCTACATTTTGCAATTTGGATTAATTAGCCACAATTGACTCCCCCCTCCCTCCCCCCAGATTCCCTTACCGACTGCACATTAATTGATAGAAGAGCATCTCTGATTCTTTCAATCACAAACTGAGCTATAGACAGAGAAATACAAAACAAACGCAGTGATATCCTTACTAAGTTCTCTCCTAATATGAGCGGTTTGGATTCCTGCAATCCAGCTCATTCAGTGATGTCAATGGCTGAACTGTGTACGTACACTGATGAAGTGTTTTTCTGAAATGAGGGGGTGTGGTTAAGACCTATGGTGGAGCATTCAGGAAAACATTTAAAAAACATGTATTTATTTTTTTTACCCAAAGCTACAATTTTATAACATGACAGGAGGCTTCATATTTGCTTAAGTTTCTCTTTACTAGAACTCCACAGTAGCCCATTAACACAGAGAAAAAACAACCAATCAGAAAAAAGTTACGTACAATAAAGCTCCCCTCCCCACACATAACTTCCGCACTGCACCGATGCTGTAGCCGGAATGACGTCATTCCGGCTCCGGCATCAGTAAGCGGCGAGCGAGGGAGCTGAACACGAGGATCTCAAGTGCTCCCTCTTGTGCTGCTCCACATCAGTACAGGTCAGAGTACCACTGCCTCCTGCTCTTTGTGGGTGGATGTGGG